CATGAAGTCCACAGGTCATAAAGAAGCCATAGCTGCCCACCCCTGTTTTAGGCATACAAACCATTAGTAGTGTAGCACTGGGGAGGGGTGGAAATGCAAGACTGTGGCATAGACAGATCTGTGGAAAACTGCCTTACCAGGACATAGGAATCACAGGACTGGAATGGAATTCATACTTAAGCTGCCTTTACTTATAAGTTGAGAATTTTAAAATATTTAAACAAATAGAAAGAAACGTGCAGTGTGAGAAGTGAGCAGATAGCCATCAGTTTTAGCTGCTGTGTATTTCTGATGAAGTGAGCTGCAGCTCGTGAAAGCTTATGCCTTTTAATAAAATTAGTTAGGTGGATGAGGTGCTATCAGACTGCTGCTTAACAGATGTATAGGAAATGTGGTTCCTTTTTAAACATCTAGTATATTTTTTCTTTTAACATCTTACCTATTAAGTTTATTATTCCCTCTGAGGAGCCCAGGAAGCCTCTCATCCCAGATAAACTAATATTACATTTTAATATCACGTGACTTACCTACTTCAGGTTATCCCCTTTATCCAATATCTTTCTCGTAAAATACTTCTGCTTGATATGTTTATTTAACGTTTCTTAGTACATTACCTTTTCTTGAGGCAGCGGTTAATAGAAAGACCAATTGTTGCCAACTGATTTGCTGGCAATGTGTGCAGAAGGCTTTCCCACACCCAACACACAGATCCAAATTATAATCCACTCACAAACTCACACTCTGCACCCCTGTCTGTATATTTTCGGAAAGTATATATGTTGCTAGTGGGCATGAGAGACTGCAGCCCAGAAATTTATTTGAAAGTATTCCCGTAGAGCAATTCTGTATTGCTCTATTGTCATTGACAGATCATCCATTCCATGGTTCATTTTACACTGATCCTGCTCTTGGAAGCACAGTTTTATCCTGGTCTTGTTGCTTTCATTGGGCTGTGTTCAGAAACTGGCATTGGAGAATGATTGTTTAGCATCATGGCCTTTCGCTAATGGGCTTCTTTCAGGATTCCACCCTATTGTCCAGTGTTGCTCAACACCTTCATGAAACTACTCTCGGAAAGTATCTGGAATTTTGGAGAACTATTGGATATTGCTTAAGTTTCACAATGGGTTAGATCAACTAACTTTAAGACTTGTGGAGTTCGACTCCCAGAATTCTCCAGCCAGCATGGGAGTTGAAGTCCACAAGTCTTAAAGTTGCCAAGTTTGGAGATCTCTGGATTAGATAAAGGAGAAGCAGCTGAAATTACATTTAATCAATCTAAAGGTATTGTTGATGAGTACAAAACTGAAATTCATCTGGTTTTGAGTTGTTTTGGACTTCCTCAAAGGTGCAGATTTGCAGTGCTTCTCGATCCTCAACTACAGTGATGACTGTAACAAAGAACAGTTTGTATGTTGTTTCCACAGATATCTGTGCCAGCTGTTTTTCTGTATGATCTGGCCAGATTCAGTGGTGGCCATGCGGTAATACAGTATAGAAATCCAATAAATAAAATCAAAACATCCTCGAATTAAACACTTTCATTATTCTCTCATTTTGATAGCTTTATTTCACTTCACTTTTTGTATTTCAACGTCCACAGCAAAGAGATTGGAGACATCCGGGGAAAATGCATTAGAATAATTCTTTGCTACAAGTTGTGAAAGCATCTGACTCTCATGGTTTTTATCAAGAATAATTGTGGCTATGGCAAGCAGAAATTTTGGTTGCAATAATGACAATGAATGGATGAGAAACAGGAGAGGTTCAGTGTAGATACAGAGCACATTTTGGATTGAAGCTCCTTGGAGTTGCTTTTCCTTCAAAATAAAATTAGCCAATTTAAAGAGTTTTATTTTTAAAGAAAAGAAATGTGAATAAAATGATATGTCCTTGGCTTGTAGGGTCTTTAGTCTTTAGAATAAAGAATTATGCTGGCTGCATCTTTCTTTTCTTTTCTTTTCTTTCTTTCTTTCTTTCTTTCTTTCTTTCTTTCTTTCTTTCTTTCTTTCTTTCTTTCTTTCTTTCTCAATATTTTTTTTAGATTGCTTTTTTATATGATAGTGATTTTGAAATGTGAGATGCAGAACTAATTGCCTCCAAAACCAATATGTGTGGAACAACTCTCTTAATAAAGGCCTTTAATATCTCAAGAAATCACAGTGATCTCCAATTGTCTTCAGAAAGTTATTTGCATATTCCTTTAGATATGTTTCATAAATACAGATTTTTATAGAAGCTAACAGTGCTCAGTTTTGGAATATTGTATAGAATTGAGGATTCTGGACATATCTGCTTAGCCTTTATGTAGCCTTAAGACCTTGGTGTATTTAACAATCATTTCCACTTATGCCTTTTGAAAACTGTATTTAAAGCACAATGGCTAAAAGTATATGCAAATCATATTGTACATCCAGATCATGCTGTTTCCAGTAACTTTAGAAACTTATTTTTAAAATGAATAGCATCCAATCATCCTATACCTGTGTATGCTATGTATGCTTTCATTTTGAATACCAGTACTCAGGAAGAGTAGAGTAGGAATAGGAATAGGAATAGGATAGCATAGCATAGCATAGCATTCTATTCAGGGTTCCAAGTAACACACCCATAGCAAATAAAACTCCGAGGCAGGTAGATTCCTCAAAAAATAGTTTTATTGGATATATCATGTTGGTATTGTTCTGGTGAAAACAGACTCTAAAGGTTCCCACGATTTTCACCTAATTAAAAGTAAAAGTTTTTCCCCTTTCCCAAACATTCAGTCACATGGTCCAGTCAAGGTGCCATCCGGTCGCCTGGTAATATCTCTCCTCCTCTCTTTGGCCAGGTGTTAGAATGTCCTTGGGGAAGGTATTTTGTTTTGGCTACAAACCCCCAGCTATCTCTATTCCCTCCTCCTTATCCCTCAGCTCCAGTGTGGCAACTCTGAAGCCTCAAAATGGCTTCTGTCAGGTCAGCTTCACAATAGCTTTATTTAGCCAAGTGTGATTAGACGCATAAGGATTTGTCTCCGGTTCAGAAGCTCTTCAGTATACATGCAAAACACAGAATAATAATAATCATAATAATGATATCAATAAGAAGTCAATTATGGTAGTCTGAATTCTCAGACATCGTGCTTCTAATGAAGTGACCATTGTTTGAACTATTAATTTTACATTTGGTTACAGATGACATGTTGTCTGATGAACCATGATTTAAACTCTTGATTAGGGTCTGCCATGACTACTTAATTAATGAACAGTGAAAAGACTGTTTTTGGGAAAAAGAGGAATTAGGAGATGTCACTATTGACAAATGTGGCCATCAGCTAAATTAGGTTAGATAATCATTTGGGTTTTATTTTTCATTTTTTAAATGTACGGGGTATGAGAAGAAATAATATTTTGAGGTTTCAAGTGCTTTAACTTGCACCCAGGCAAAATAGGAAACCCTGTGGTCCTTTGGCATAGAAAGAAAGTTTCTTTCCAAAATGCATGGCAGAACATGAATCACTGAAGGCATGAATGTCTCTACGCTTGAAAGCAAATGTTTGTTTCGTTTGGAGGAGGATCTTTTTTGAACAACACGCAGAGTTGCAATCATTAGATACCTTTAAATAAGATTGGAGGTAGGCCTCAAGATGTGTCGGAAAACAAGCCAGAGTTCATATTTTTTCATGTGGTGAACTGTAGCCATAGTGCAAAAATTCTTCAGCTTTATTTGATATTAAAGAACAGATCCACCAGTGTGCCTTGGAGAAAACAAGTTCGACATTCTGTATTGTCACTGGAGCCCACCTGATTTAAATATCTCTGTTGCTCTTGGAGAAGTTTTCCTGTCTCTCTGTTCAGCTCTCAGGGCTTTGTTTTGATTCTGCATTTTTCTTCAGGCATTCATAAGGACAAAGATAAAACTCCGAGCTTCACTCTTGTCCTTGAGACTTTGAGGTGTACCTTGACAGATTACCAGAACAAGCAGGAAGAGGCATCTAATGAGGTAACAGTTGCATGGCTCAGCTCCACGTATATAGCCTTCAGCCCACAATGCTAGAGATTCCTTGCTTGTTACAAAGGTCAAAACACTGGGAATGTTGAGTTGACAGCTTTTGCAGAGAAGAAGAAATAATTTTTTTGTCACAGCTCTTCCTTTAAGCTTGCCCTGTGGTCATGATTCCCTTTAACTTAAGAACGTGTTTAGCTCTGTGTATGTATTTATGTGATTTTTTTTTGTTGCGTTGAAATGTTGTAATGCCCAATTATTTTAAGTTAAGCTCTGTGCGTGACTGATTTTTATTACCCATTTAAGATTTCACATTCAGTGCAATATGTAGAACTATGTTCACATAGTTTACTACAAGTGTTTACATCCAGTACAAATTGATAGCAGGTGAATAAATGTAGAGACTTTAGCACTGGAGGGGTAAATGTTACATTTGATTTCTTTGCTGTCTTAATGTAAAATGTATGCATTTTAAGAAAGATGTTTCTGGAGCATTTTTTGTTAACATCCTCAAAGGAGAAATAGTTAAATTTGGTTTTAGCTTTGTTTTTAGTGTTTAAAATTAATTAAAGAGATCCTTGTGCCCCCACAGTGTACATAATCAGGTACTGCTGAATTTATGTCAGTTTGGATTGTAATATTGTATTCACGATTCAAAAGTAAACCTAATTGCACTTTGTAAGATTTCTCACAGCACTGTACATCTCATTACCTTCTCAGATTATTCAGTTCACTTTAATGCGGTTATTGATAGAGCTATAAAACATACAGGTTTGATGCCACTTAAGTACATGAAAAAGGTTAGATTTTTTTTTAGCAAACTTACAATTTTACTTAAATATACAAAATTCTTACTTTAGAATGTGTTTGATCCACTATAATATTGAAAACAAGAACTAAGTTTTAAATCCTTTGCAGTCAAGTCTTTCCTGCTATCTGAGAGCCACCAAGTAAGTTACAAGGGAAGCAGTTACACGTGTTGGTATACTACCACCATTACTTAGCTTCTTTTGTTAACAACCCACATGCTTAGTGGCCTTTGGAGGTGAGAGCCCTTTAATTTCCACTGTGAATTGTTATTTGGGAGGATGAACATCACCTGATCTTCAACACAGCTGAAAAGCCAACTCAGCAGGCTTTGGCTGAGGAACATGTTTTGTTGCGAACTGATGCCAGAGACAGCAGTGGGAAGAGACCAAAGGGGTGACTGATAAAAAAAAAAAAGCAGAAGGAATATTCTGTCAGCAAGAAGAATGAACTGTCAGGAAAATAAATTGCAAGCAGCCCAGGGCCAGCAGATGACCTGCCACAAGACTTCCCAGTAGGACTCAATGGGCCTGACCCTGAAGTTGTCATATGGAGCCAGAGACCACAGCATACCCTCCTGATAGGCAGATGGGGTAGCTCTGTGCCCTTTCTTTGCCTTGTTGGTAGCAGTCCTGTCTTCTGGTGTTCTGTTTTCTTTGAACTGTAATTAATAGCTGAACTTCTTTTTTTGAGCAATTAAACAGTGAAATAACCAGAGCCATATTCAGAAAAAAAAGGCCTACCTTTATTGTGCTTGTAAACTTTCCACAGCCATTTTAAAAATGCTTATCATCATAACCTTTTTTCTACTGATTTGTTCAATTAGAGCAACTTAGTAGTTTTACCATTTAAGCCAAGTCAGGCTGAGATTATGAGGCTAAACTCATTTATCTATAGGCTCTTATTGAACTTAATGACTTGCAAGTAAATGTGCATGCAACTGCTGCATTAAATTAATAAATTATTTGGGGGAATCCAATCCTTGCAGAATGGAAAATATACTGTACCTAAGGCAACTACAGATACTAACATACAGCAGGCAGCGACACCACCAGAAAGGGAACAACATCCTTAATTTAGTGTCAAGCTGACCGTTGCTGTGATATCGGCCATTTTACTCCCAGGAAAAACAGTCAGCATGAAATTTCAGCTTTAGTCTATAGGCAGTTAAGCTGAAATTTCATTTCCCTTGAATCTGATGTATTGTTTACTACATTTTTTTTTTTTGCTAGCTAGAGAAAATGACAGTTCTTTCTGAGAAAATGGCAAAAGAACTTGAGGCTTCCCAACACCAGCTCAGATCTCAAACTCAAGAACTTCAGGTATCTACCGTGTGTCTTTAACATATCTGTTAACTTAAAGCTAAATAAATGTATATTCTTCTAATAAGTTTTGTCTCGATTATAGTTATAACCTTGAAAAGTTTTAATCAAAGAGATTTTGTTGGTGCAACAGTATATCTATAGGGTTTAGGACTATTGATGAGTGATGATGGTTTTGAAAAATGCCAGTGCAAGAGGCCTAGAAGTAAAATAACAGTTCCACTGGGATCCCACTAGTTGCTTTGTTTAATTTAAATGTTAGCCTTTGGGGTAAACGGTCTTGTTTGCGGGACATTCAGACAAGTACATCTGAAGAGAGTTATCAGATAAAGAAGGTTGTGCTTTATTGCATAAAACCTTTATCTTTCATTTTTTATATACTATTTTTAGGTAAAACACGACAGTCTGACTGATACCAAGAAGGAATTAAATAATCTGCAAACTAAGTGTGCAGACAGAGAATCTTTAATAGCTACATTAAAAATGGAACTACAAAACGTATTGCATTGCTTGGAGAAAGAGAAAGTGTATTGTACAGAATATAAAAATGAAATTCAGAAGCTCACAGAGGCTTATGAGAAGGATACAGAGGTATTGCCAGAAAAAGTCTGTCAGAAATATTATTTAATCTTTACCTTTCATTACTATATATATATTTCTGTATATCAGATCATTATTTTTTTTTGCAGATACGGATTTATGCCACCGCAATAAGAAATCTAAATGATTGCTTTCCAATGTTTTTGTGAACTTTTATTTCTGGCATTATGTTTTGATTTTATTTTTCCACTTACGGTTAACCTGGCTTGTTTTTCCATTTTCCCGCCATTTTTACCCTTTTGTTTCTTGTTCCTTTCTCATTATTGTTTTTAATGTTTTAATCAATGTATAAACTACCCAAAGTTGCTGGACATCGGGTGGCATATAAATGTAATAAATTGTTATTGTTACTAGGATTTAAAAAATATCAACTGCTCAACTAATCTGATTCTTTACATGTAAAGAATATCGTCATTCTCTTGAGATGAGACATGTAAAATATATGCCTAAGGAATTTTTGAATGTTAATGTTTAGCTGAGTGCAAATACATACATTCGAAATATGTCTGCATTTGGAATAGATTAACTGTTTAATCCCTTGGCACCAATCCCTATTAACTGTTTCAAATGGCAAGTCCAAGAGATGAGAAGGACCTATATCATTTTACTCACCCATCAACAAAGTCAACTTAGCTTGCCTATTCTTTGGATAGCAGCTGATTATAGTATTGTGTACAGTAATTGTTTCATGAAGTGTTATTTTGAAACATGCTTTCCACCCTGATGTTTATCCTGTTTTAAAAATACCATCATTTGCTTGTGTTTAGAGTTTCATTTTCTTTTGCGCTCACAGCTTTTCTGCACTAGGTATATTAAATATATTCTCTCTCTCTCTCTCATTTTTTTATTTCGATTGTGCTACATATTGAGCTCATTATTCTAACGAATCTGAGAAAGAATGCCAAGCGACTAAAAGGAAACATTATTTCCACCCTTCTTCCAGTCTGGGATTTAAATTGTGTCCATATGAATCAGCTGGAATTGTTCTGCTCATCAGATAGTGATTAAAGTAGAGGAAACTAGAAGCCTGACAATATTGTAAAGTCAGCATGTCTACAGTATTGTGGTTGGGTTTAACATGTGTGAATTGATTCTAGGCCTTTGGATTCCTTTTCCAGGCCAAATGGATGATTACTATGCTTGGTTTATCACAGCCCAAGCAAAAAGGACAGAATGGCGACAGATTACATTAACAAGGAGAAATGAAAGACTGAGTGGAAATGCTTTTTGTTACTATTTTGCCATGTGTTGTTGGTGCTTTCTTCAGGTCGATTTAAACACTGAACTAGAGTTGGAAGAATCACAACAATAATTCTGTTGTTAATGCTTTTGTAAAGTTTGTTTGGAAATGGCTTGGGTTGGACTGCGTCTAAAGCACGCTAAGAGCAGCGGAAATCTTTTCATTGAAGATAGTGGGGTTTGGATCACAGGCTCAAGTTTGGGTTGATCTTTGCATTGAGCAAAACGATGCCCAATGGGACTCTTTTCCCATTTACATTAATGAAAAAATGTTTCGGTGTCCAAAGTCAGCAGTAGAGCTGTTAAAAGAACTATTTTATTCTCCAAGCAGATTTGTTCTTCATTTAAAGAGTTGCATGCGTGCAATTTTTAAAAAGATGCAATGATATACTATAACTTTGCTGCATAATTACATTAATTATCCCTGGCTCAAAGTATTTAATAAAGTTACCAATAAGAATAAATTAAATACTGCAGTAAACATGAAACTAGCAATTCAGAAATCAAAGTATTTTACATAGTATTTTACATAGTCCTGTTTGTATTCCAAATTATTCATTTTGTGTGTGTGTATGTGTGTAGCAAAAAAACTCTGGGTGTGAAATAGGGGAGAAGTAGAGCTGAACAAGCTGTTGTTTTTTTCAAGAGCTGCTCTGTGTTTAACACTTAGTTTATTCCCTGTGCAAACTGTTAGTATGATCTTTTTTATTCATTAAAAATTGCCACCAGCATTTTATTAATAGATACAATAATAAAAGTACTACAAGGTCTGATTCTCTGTGATCTTTAGTAGGCTATGCATTCTAAACTTTACTAAACAAGAGGAAACACCTCACTGCTTAAATAAAAGGTCTGCAGGTCCAGGATCAGCCCTAGTGTAAATATAATAGTCAATTATCTATTTTGTGATTTTGATTAATTTCTTGAGCATAGGTCATCACTTTGGAACACTCGTTTATTTTTATTTATATTTTAACATTTCAATGTAGAAATATTTGCCATTAACTCTTTCTCCCTCTCCCCTTCCTCTTTTCCTTTTATTGGTTTCTTTTTGTCTCAAAAATTGCATTGCATTTTGCAGGAGAAGCTAACTTTCCTCCATACTTTGTACCAGCACTTGGTAGCAGGCTGCGTACTTATAAAGAAATCAGAAGGCATCCTGGATAAATTCTCGTGGTCGGAGCTTTGCACAGTCTTGCAAGAAAATGTTGATACGTTGATCTCAGACCTCAACAAGGCTAATGAGAAGGTACTGTCCTCAGGCACCAGACACCTCTATTAAATTCAGTGACATTTGTCCACATCACAATATTGTTAAAAAGGACTGACATTCATCTTATTTCAAAAAGAATTTGGGTGTTAATAATTCAGTACCGTTAATTATGGCTTGTCTACAGCTCGGTTTGATGCCATTGCTGTGGGCATGTAAATGTGACTGAAGTCTGTATGAAATCTCTAAGCTCCAGCTTCTGTTCAGGACTTGCTAATACTATTAGCCAGTGTTAGCCACAGGGACCTAATTAAAAGAAAATAAATTAATCTTACTGATGAAGCTATTCAAAGGACTGAGTCATTTACACTAATAAACCAACTCTTTATCTCAGCATAAAACAGAAACAAAACGCACTTGTTCAAGGAACATCCTCTTTAAAATATTTGCTGTTGGGTTGGAGGAATTATTTGAGGAAGGGGGATGAAATGTTTCTATGAAATGCCAGGTGCTCTTTGATCCTTTTGGATTTGTAAACATATATAGAAATTGCAAATCTATACATCATACATTTTAAGAAGATAATGTTTAAGAAAGCTTAACAATGAAGTTCATGCATACATTGACATGACTTGTTAGCTGAAGATACGTTTAGTAAAATAAGATCAGGGTTTTTTTTTAAAAAAAGAAATGTTTTGTTATGTACAAATAGCTGTACAGCCTATATTTTAACACTTCCATCCATCTGCATTCCTGACTTGTTCACTATGACCATAGTTTTCTGTGATCTAGGAGAATTCTAGAGTTTGGTCCTCACTTAGATCAGGCTCCCCAAGGATAGGAAGAAAAGTATTTCATATGAGCTGAGCCATTCATCTCACATTCAGGTTTAAGGCAAGCCATAGGAAATGAAGTATAACTCGAAGGAACTTTATTTTTAAGTTTAAGAACCAGTTGATGCAAAATGATAGCAGAGCGTGCAATCAGAAATTCAACCAGTGTCTTAACCTAGAAGAAACCTGCTGATATAAGCTTCTGGGCAAATGTCCCAGTGGGGTAGAATGCTTCTAGGAGTTGACAGGCGGGCTTAACTAGATTTGTATTTTTGGCTAACTTTGAGCAAGTATAGTTTTAGTCTGGTTTTTAGCCTTGTTAAGATTAATAAAGTTCAATTCAGTTTTTTAAACAATGGAAGAAATAAAATTGGAGGCACAAAGGCAAAATGAAACCAAAAGCTTCTAACAAACCAACCAACCTTTTAAAAGTATGGCAAAATAATATGGTATTAGTTGCCTGCTTAAAAGGTCTAGGCCTTTGTTTCGAAGGCCTCTGAATTATCCAATATAAAAATTATTTTTGATACCCTTTAAAAATGGGCATTAGTACATTTAATTATTAGCACCATTTTGGATGAAAAATAGCTTCTGTTCCCAGTACAAACTATTTGTATGGTTTAGCTGACTGCCAATCCTTTCCCCATGAAAACTCTTCGTGGTCCCTGCTGCTACAGCATCTAATGTTATTATCTATAAAAAAATGTGATATGTAAGACAAACAACAACTCTTCATCAACTGGGCTGCTTTCCTATAAAAATGTATTATGGGATAAGATTATATCCTTTGTATAGTTTCTGTTGTAAAAGACTTACATTTTATTAATTGAGGTATTTTTTCAACATGAGGTACAACTCTTTTAAAACTGCAACAGCCGCTACCAACAACAAAACCAACAATTCACCCAGAAATAGGTCTAGCATTACATACTGTTCTGAGAAAATCCAATCACTGTGCTCACTTTCATATTCACGTTGCGTTAAGCATTGATGGGCTGATACAGAAATTTAATCCTAAAACTTTCAGCGTTAGAAAGGCTAGTCAAGTATAAATAGTAAAAGATACAGTTCACAGGTCACAGGCTGAGGAAATCTGATTGGTAGGTTTCCATAGCTAAGAAGTGGTACTTAATTCCTTGTGGATTATGGGGTTAGTTATAGCATCCTGAATGTATTATTAACGTCTGTTTTAAAATAGAACTGTGTTTGAGAAGATTGAATGTTTTTTTTTTAAATGCCAATCATGCAGGTATCACACCTTGAATATGTTTGTAAAAATAAGTCAGATACAATGAAGGAGATTCAACAAACCCAAGAAGAGACTTTGAAGAAATTTGCAGAACAGATGAAAGCTCAAGAAAGCTGTTGGTTAAAGCAGAAGAAAGACTTGGAACAGCAATATTCTGTACTCCTTGGGGAAGTTCACAACAGGGCCCAGGTACAATATTTCTGTCAGGAAACTATTAACTTTTAAATGCATTCTTTAAATATTTAGGATATTATTTCAGCAATTTTGTTCCAATGCATTTTAAAACTGCTTGGAAATTTTACTACACTTTGAGAGAGTTGGTTTTTTTAAAAAAGCCAACCTATTAACTTCCTTTTTTTTTTAAAGGATGTGCATGGATTTATGGAAAGGCATTCCAGAACTTTCACAATGTTGGAATCCTGCCGTTGTATTTCCCATTTAGTTACCATGCATAAGTAACCTACAGAGTAAAAGCATTGCTTCTTCATGTTATTACGCCGAATACCAGATGCTTGCCCCCCATGATAACTATTTTTTCTATGGCTTCTAGCAATAGTTTCTGAAATTCACTTTAAGGTGAACTGTGTCTCAGGCATAAGCTTGTAGGCAAGTTGCTAACAATAATATAAAAAAAAAGATATTGAAAGGCAAACCTTCCAGGTTAGACAGGAAAATAAATTAAACTGGTATATCTCAGGGAAATGGATGATGTCCCAGATAATTTCTACTTCACTTATTTTTCTGAACTTCTGTATAAAGAAAAGCCTTCTACTTTATTGTAGAAGTCTACAACAAGTGCTCCTTTAGAAAGCTCATTATTGTTTCAATTAGTTGAAGACTTTGAATAAAATGAATTACTAAACCACTTCATTATATAAGAAAACACACACCATAGATAACAAAGAACAGATGTGTCTTTTCCCTCTCTTAATGGGCAAGTGCCCCCTTCCAATGTATTCCCACACGTCCTCTTTTTAAAGAAACCAATTCAAAGGTTATTTTGTTCAGTGGTTTGCAGCCTTGGACAAGTAATCTTAGTGTCAGCCCTGTCCCACCTTGGACACTTAGGAAAGAAAGACCCTTAACTCCATTTTTGTTGAGAAAAGATACGCTTTTACTAAGGTCAAGTGGTTGCAGCATATACAAAGCCAGATCTGAATATTCCCATATAAATTTGGTACATTTTCCTCTTCCCCAGGTTCTCCCAGGTCATCCTCCCCTTGGCCATCTGGTCAGTGTCCAAAAGTATTCAAATTCATTGTTTTGGTAACAGTTTTGGTAACAGTTCTGGATTTGGCGCCTCTTTGGTTGATGTTTGCATTCCATTCTCACAGCTGTGTCCTTGGATCTCTCAACCATTGTCTCCGATTCACACCTCTGTGTCCTGTCATTCCCACTTCCTGTGTTCCCTTACCTTGCCACTTTTATGGCAGGATGCCATCAAGGTGAAGTGAAGCTGAAGTAGTGTAATGGCGGATCTGACACTTATGCACAGAGTTACTTGGGGTGGCAAGTGGATGGACGGTGGGGATGCATGACTGGAAGTCCTGAAGGACCAGGTTGGGGATAGATTGTAACAGAGAAAATCTATTTGGTTGCTTAGAGTCGACACCCACTTGCTGGCACATAATCAATAAATAATCAATAGTTGGTGGTAGAAGAGGGAATGAAAATGATAAAGGTGAGTATTAAGAGAAGAACATTCCCATCTCTTATTTTTCCTTTCACCATTCTTCTCTCTATTCTCTCTCCAAATAATGGTTACCTGTATGAGAACAGATGGACTGTGTTTTCAAGTGCTACAATCCTCTTCATTGTTGCAACTGCGAAAAAAAAAATCTTTCTAGAAGAAAACCTTTCTTATTATTGACATTTTATTTATGATCTAACTCAATTCTCTCTCTTATTTTTTTAAAAAAAACCTCTTACCAGTCTCTTCTTTTTTTAAATATAATTTTTATTGAAGATTTTAATTACAGTATTAGAAGCAAATGCAAACTAAAGGCAAAATGAGGAGTGACAGAAAGCTAGAACTCCTGTGTACAATTCAATTCAATCTTTATTGATTAGCCTTGGGCCGTACATAAGTTATTTCTGATCTTCATCACAATAAGTATAAAGAAACTTAATAACTTTTTGCCCCGTATGAGGCTATAAACAAATATTTTTTCTTCCTATAACCCATCACATATCTATTTGCAAATCCATAAATCATCAAGTTATCAGTCTTGATGTCGCAAAAAATCTGAAAGGATGTACCAGAGCCTTGTAGAAACATGTCTTATTTTAATCTTGGTCAAAAAATCCAATTTTATATTCTTCCCTTTTACTTCTAACCATCTTGAATTCATTCAGGTATTGCATTGGAGTTAGTCTTTTATGTTTTGATTCTTTATTATGTTTGTGCCAAAAATTAACGCCAAAAACCTATACCTCTAGAAATTTAGCAGAATGGCAAATTATTTAAGAGAGAAGTTTATACCCTTCTCTATTTAGGTCAAAAACAAAGCTAATATGGTAATGCAAGCCAAATGATCATAGTGGGGTACCATGGCTAACAGTTCTTAATACTTAGCATTGGTTTTTAATCTAAGGAATAATTATATTAATGATGGACTGCCATTTTCAGAAATGATTTTCAGAAATGATTTGTATCTACTGTAAGTACAGCTTCTTCCTGCTATTCATTGAAGCAGTTCAACATTTTAAAGGCTTTAGTGCTAGCCCAAAAGTGAATTTTGATTGCTTTAAGAATCACATTAATTTGAGTTGCCTCCTTAAGGCAACACCTGTTTCTCTAAGGATTACATGGAAACCTGGGGGTGTTGGTGGTAGAAATGGACTGCTTTCTTAATAATACTGATCTTGTGCTGGTTCCAAAACCCCTTCTTCTGAATAATTGTTGAGTAATCACAGCCCCACTGATAACTAATATATCTAAGGTTACCTAAGAAATTTATGGTGAGTATTTAATCTATACAAAGAATAATTTCATTGTTATGAAAACTAACATTTTTGCATCAAGAGATAGGGACAAAGATAGAAATTTATGTATAAAAAACTGAAAGCAAATAAGTCAAAATAAGAAATGTAAATAACAAAATTTCACCAATGAGAAAGGCAAAAAAAAATGTCTACAACAAAGGAAGTCACCTTCTTTGAAGTATTCACTTGCTCTATTAAGGAGAAGTACTGATATCAAAACAGATGAATTAGCTGAATGCGGGACTATTCAGTATTATCAAGAAGAGAGTTGTAAGAAAGAAAAATAAAATATAGTTGGAATAAAGTGAAGTCTTTTGAAGTTCAAATGTCATTAATTCTCTGTAGTCCTGTGCTCTTGCCAACCCATTGATATAGACCCAGCAAGAAACAGAATAAAAATTAGAGTTGTACATTCTGGTGGAGTGACTGGTCTCTCCCTCTCTCCTTCCTTCCCTCTCTGTCCCTCTCCCTCCCTCCCTCCCTCCCTCCCTGCCCCCCTCCTCTCTCCCTCCTCTCCCTCTCCCCTCTCTTTTCAGGCAAAAATCTTGCTGTACTTTTAAAGAAATTGTGTTTTCAAGGTTTGATAGAAATATTTGGTATAAGATGAAAGTCCAGGCAGGTTAAACTTGAACAATTAAATTATGGGAAATTTAAAACAACGGAAAGAGAGAAGAATTATTGTAATATGACATGGATGTAGAAAAAAATAGTCCCAAAATTCTAAAGAGGAAAAGATTCACATGTCTTTTAGGATTCACTGTTGTTTTAGTTGAGAAAAACTGGATGAAAGCCTTGGGCAACAAGATGGATGTAGCTGGCTCAATGAAAGAAGAAGAAAAGGCAAGGAAAAAAATCTCAACGATAAGGAGGACTATTGTGAGAAAAGAAAAATGAGAATCTTTTAGAGAAGATCAGATAAATCACAGGCAAATTTACAGCTATGACAGGAATACTTAACAGTAAAAGAGACCTGATAGAAGAAATGAGGTTAAAGGAAGATGGAAAGGGTGTCCTACATCCTTTACAAGTGGGATTATAGAGTGACAAAATATCTAATATATTCAGGTACCAACCTGTCTAGAAAGTAAAATACTACAGATAGTAGATCACCAGCTACGTTGGACAACTTGATGCCACCAGCTCATCACCATCATCTTGCCACTAACTCCACACTGTGAACTCACCATGGGGACAGCTCACCATCAGCAGCTGGAGGGAGAAACTTGGTGGCAATGAGTTGGCAGAGGCGAGTTGTCCTAGATCCGGTTGATATAGCCACTAAACTTTTAAAACTGCAGGGGAAGAGGTTTTTTTAAAATTTTTAACAGCTGTATATAACAAATATGGACCAGGGACCTGCAGTTGAGAGATTGGAAGACAGCATCTGCATAAGCTTTTTGTTTTTGTAAGTGTCAGAACATTGTACCACAAGCTCCGCCTCTTTGTTGTAGGGCATGCATAGCAATAGCACTTCAACTTATATATACTGCCTCACAGTGCTTTATAGCCCTCTCTAAGCAGTTTAGAGAGTCAGCCTATTGCCCCCAACAATCTGGGTCCCCATTTTACCCACCTCAGAAGGATGGAAGGCTGAGTCAACCTTGAGCCTGGTGGGATTCGATCTACATTCTAACCATTGAGCCGCCATGGCTTATAGGGCAGAGCTTGTGTTGCAATGCTGAAATATTGGCTTCTCCTTGTCCTTAGTCTTGAGGAGACTTCTGTTGAAAAATATAGGCAAAAATACTCAAACTAAAAAAAAGAATAATGTAAGAGGGTGTGCAAATTAAGTGAATCCCTATTAATTTCTTATGCAAGCAACATTTTGGTTGAGATTTTCACCAGTGAATATCATCATTTAAGCAGACAGAAATGCCAGTCGAAGAAGCTGTTTTTGGAAAAAGAGAAGGCCATGAAATCAGATAGCTAACATTAGCTGACAATGGATAAGGTAGGAGAAATAGAAAGAAACTTACCTTCGTTCACCATAGCAACATCTTCAGTAGAGAAGATCATGCAGTAATGTGGAACATACAATCTTAAGGACAAGGGTAATGAAAGAACATGTAATTGTTCCTTTGAGGAATCTTTAGAATAAGCAAGAAACTACTGTAGGTATAAAATTTGGAAAAAAAGACTGGTTTAGACAAGAAGATGAGAAGAAAATATCTGTTGTACCCATATTTGTTTAATTTATACAATAA